CAAATGTTTTCAGCAGTCAGCCTCAATCCTGTTTTTCCCATAAGCCTGTTATTTTCAGTGCGTGATTTTGCAGGACGCAGGGTGCGTATGTAGCGCTATAGCGGAGACACCAGTGTTCATCACTGCAGCAGCATGGATTTTTTTTTTTAACGTCTTTATTGGAGTATTGTTGCTTTACAATGGCGTGTTAGTTTCTGCTTTATAACAAAGTGAATCAGTTATACATATGTTCCCATATCTCTTCCCTCTTGCGTCTCCCTCCCTCCTACCCCTCTAGCTGGTCACAAACCACCTAGCTGATCTGCCTGTGCTAGCAGCATCGATTTTTAACTAGAGTAAATTTCTTTCAACAAAACTAAAATCCTATTATTATTGTTATTTATTTTATTTGGAATGAAATGAAAGCAGTATTTTTTAATATATATACCCATTATTATGCATGTATTATATAAACATATACGTATATATTAATATACATATGATATAAACACATATGTATTTATTAGATATGGATACATGCATGTATATCAATCCCCCCTCAAAAAAAAACACATGGCACATTTGATCCTTTTAAGATAGAACTTTGGGAAATATAAATCAACAGAATGTTGACAAACATCAGGAACTGACACTGCTAAGTCCATCTCGATACATTTCAACTTGGCCACTACTGACCTTCTCTATAGACATACAGCATTCTCTTTGAACATTTTTGCCAACAAAGTGGAGACCTCCTCCATAATGTCAGCTAATCACACGGGAGAGAGTATAAAATACCACCCAACAGCGACAGGGAAAGCCACAGGGTTGAAGCTTAGATGCATTCAATGAACGCATCTTTTAGTGAATAACCGTCTAGCTCTCTGGAAGGCGACTCAGTCAAACTTCCTTTCAGAGAGAACTGAGAGCCACCCCTACACATGGTATTACCACCACGGAGAGACCACAAGCCAGAGAAGAAAAGAGAACAGAGAGCAGCGCTCAACACAAGCATAACAAGGTCAGCCAAGGTTCTTTACCTATACTTAAGTCAGTCTTCTGTTCAGTGATTCAGTGAACAAGTATTTGAATGCGCAAGGACACAGAGATGGACAAGACAACTGGGCTCCTTATTCCACTGATTATGTCTTCCTGACATCCAAGCATCTTAGCGAATGTTCACGAGCATCCTGGGGCTACAAACTCTAATGCCTACGGGAGCCAGATAAGTAATTTACGAGTGAAGCAGAAAGGGTACCTGGTACAAGGGAGCACCGGGACAATTATACACTAGACATCACGTGCCCCATCTAAAGGCATTCAAATCCAATTCTCTTATCTACCATCAAGGTGAGGCAAAACACACAGATAGCCTAGACGTGGCTCACAGATTACCATTTTATGACTCTTACGTTTAGCAAAATGTAGACCAGAGCATCTGGATAAGGAATTTCATTTTGCATCTAGATTATCTGATTTTAAAATGCTCAACCCATATTTAAGATCACCTTCCTATAGGTGATGGCTATAACATATCGGACGATGATGAGAACTCTGCTATAAGAGAAATAATTTATCAAGAACCAAAATTTTGGAAACTGAGTTTGATTCCATATTTCTTCATTATGACTGAAGAGTGCCATTACATACCATTACATAAACAAAGTTTTCATTTGTTGGTGTCTTTAAAATTAGCACCTATTCCTTAAAAGATGCTACTCAGGGAAGGTTTACTCTTTCCAATTTCACTGTCTGAAGCACCAAAGAGAAGTTGAAGAATCTCTATAATCCAAATCACACCTTCACCATAAAAGGTCAAGGATAGTGTCAGCAGACACACAGGTGAAATAAATCAATTACAAATGTAATAGTTCTTGCCCACTCAAAATGTGGGTTCTTGGTCAGAGGTTACAAGAAGCCATTTTATATACCCTTGAGTATAATATTTAATTAAAGTAATATGATAATTGAGAATGGTGTCAGTTTTCCTCTTTTTTTTTTCTTTAAAGGTCAACCAATGTACTGGATATTCCAAGATTTGTCCTTAAATCAACATCCTATTTTTTACACACACAACAGTTTTACAGTTACAAATATATATGCTAATGGACAGTTAGCACATCTTAATTGTTTTTAAAGCTAAATTTGGTCAACAAATTAAATTCCTCAGTGTGTGTTATGTAATGTAGACACAGGCTATAAAAATGTTGACATTGGTTATATATTCGTAATGCAATTTAGCCGTTTTAGTAATGACTGTGCAAATAATCAGCCACAGGAAAACTATTTTACATCTAGTACAATTACCTACTATCACAGAAGTAATTATTATTATTGTATTGTTTACTGAACTTCAATAAGAACTCGGTGAGGTGCTAAGATACTTCCAAGGCAGGTGTGAAAACTCCCCTCTTAACAGACTCATCTGGCAACTATAATTACCCATGTTAAGGAGGGCATTTCAGATGATCATTAAACAAGAAATTATCCCCAGAAGGTTCATAAGTTCCAAACTTTAAATGGAGAAATACTGACAGCTCCTAACGTGTCCTCCTAATTCCCTCTTGATGCAACTTTTCACCAGGCAAGGTCAGCAGCTCTAAGATGACTCAAGATCAATGGATAGAAAAATCCATACTCCCAGCGAGATGAGCTTTGCCCCTGAACAATATCTACTTTTGGCCAATGCCCTAATAGTGCTGGTTATACTTCGGGAAGCTCAATCAAACATCCCATTTTACTGTGCTTCAACTTTCTTGGTTTCAGAAATTGCTCCACCATCTTAAAATAGGCAAAAGTGCTTGGATGACCCATTGGGCACAACCTGCCAAAGTTCTTCACCAGGTCTCTACCCAACTTCATCTTCTCTGTCAGCACAGGGATGAGGAAGGCAGTAGGGTAGAGAAGAGGTCAACCTGCATCATTCTTTCAAGGAACCCAGGAACATGTTAGCTGGATGGTTCAGCCCCAGCAAATATCATGGGGTTTCAGTCAGTATGTTCACCAGTGCGGTGGTCATCTGAATGCTTGACTGGGGCTGGAGGTTCTGCTTCCAAGGTGGCTCACAAACACAAGCTCGTTAAGCTAGTGCTGGTTGTTGGCAGGAGGTCTCAACTCCTTGCCACATGGACCTCTCCATAGGACTGGAGTGTCCTCTCATGACACCTGAGCCCACTAGTGGTCCATGACTGCGCCTCACCAAATCCAGAATCATCCAAAAGACCCTGGACTCACAGGAAGCTGAGATGCTACCTTGCCTGTTCTCCACTCTTCCTCTCTCACACCCGCCAGCAAATCCACCACCTGAAAAAGCTTCAGCTGTCCAGAAAGCCCAGAGGAAAAAAACCTCACTGTGGGTGAATCACCCCTGTGGTCTCCTACCCAGAAGGCTAATTCCACCCCTTGGGGTGCTCATCTCAATTTAACCAAAAGCCTTGAGAACCAGGGCTAGTGTTAATCGATTTAAGCGCAGGGGAGTCCAGGTCCAGGCTGAACTCTGACTTGCTTCTTGGAGGATCAGCAGGCCTTTGGGATGAAGATGGCAGGTCTCTTAGCTTCCTTATCCTGAACCTTCTCTTGGGGCCAACAGCTCTTTCGGGCATTCTCCCCAGGGCAAGGGGGGTTGCTTCTTGTTTTGTCCACTTGTCGGGAATCCAAAAGCAGTAACTGTTGTATCCAGAGCTAGTAAAACCTAGCTCCCAGAGGCCATGGCTATTTATCCACTGTTTCAAAGATGCCAGGCTAATGTCTTCCTTGAGCACTTTTGAGACGCTTTCAAAGTATCCGATGCTGGCCACTAACCTGTGTGGACCTGGAGACAGGTATCCACCGAGGGTGACGTAGAGCGTCGGAAGCTGGGCTCACATCCCATGTCCTCTAGCAACGTGCTACCACCCACCTCCGCCTTCCATGTGCTCTTCCTTCCACCGAAGGCCCTCTACAGCGCCCCCTCTCGCCCCCAGTGAGCACGACACCCGCAAGGACCGCCCCCACGCCCCAGCCCCGAGCCCGTGGCGGGGGCAGCAGGTGGGAGGAGGGGGGAGGTGGCCTGGTGGCCCCGGGGAGCGATTTGGCGGGTGCCTCCCGAACTCCCCACCCGGCCGCCCCCTCCGCGGCCGCCCCCGCAGGACCCCGCCTCGGCCCGGCCGGGCTCCGCTCCGTCGGCCCGCCCCCATCCCCTCCCGCGCCCCCGGCCCAGCCCGGGCCGCGCACCCCCGGCCCCGCACCCCCGCCGGCCGCCGCGCGGCCCCCCGCATTCCCGGCACGTCCGGCGCCGACTTTTACCTGTACTTTCTGCACTCGAGGCGGCTCGTCGGGCGAGAAACACCTCCCCGGGACCGCTACCTCCCCCGCCCCGGCTCCGCCCGGCTTCCTCCTTCCCCTCCAAGGCCGCAAAGTAGATGGAGTAAGAGAGTGTGTGTGCGAGAGAAAGAGAAAGAGGGAGCGGGCGCGGGCGCCGCGGGAGGGCGGGCGGGCGGCGGGCGGGAGGCGCGCCCGGCCCCCGCCGCCCTCCGGCCGCCGCCGCCGCCTCCGCCGCG